ATGAATGGTAACATTATTTGATTTAATCACGATTTTGGATGATAAAACCAGTATCCCAGATTACATGGGTCGCTATCTAGTCCTACAAGAACATCGGAATACTTGATCGGGTAAGTTATTCCATTGTCATTTTCGTCCCTTCCTATACCACAGTCATCTTCGCCATTAATTTCACGTAGCATGTCTTCAACTTCACCGGTTCGTTGTAGCATTTCATACCATTGACTGCCTGGAAGATTGATACCCTTCCTAGTTGGTTTAAATTCACCACCTTCCTCCGTCTGGTAGTAATCTCGGATGCATACGTACAATTGCGTACCCCAACGCTGAACAAGAACGTGTCTCTTATTTTTTAGATGGATTCGTTTGGTTGCAATAACAGTTTCTCTATCCACAAGTTTACGTATGTTCTTCACTGTTTCGGAAACCATACTCTCTACAGGTATCGAATTTGATGTGAACGATGCGCTAGCATTCGGTCCGATTTCAACTTTCTGTTTCTTGTTGGGTTGCATAACACGTTGCATAGTTGCCATAGCCTTCTTGACAATCTTGGAATCGGTGTAATCGGTTGTCGGTTTATAGAAGTTCATTTTCTGAGTGATACTTGTTACTTGTTTCTCGGAATCAAGAGAGCTGGAGTTACCTCAGTGTGTTAGGAAGATTCTAAACTGACTTAAATTTCACTCCAGTATGTAGGCACTAAGTTGTATAGAAGGATTAAGTATACTAGTCTTTTGTTCTTTATTGTAAAGGATTAAATGATGTCAGTAGCGTCCCTCTTATCCATTGTTCTGAAATAAAAGAGATTAAATGATGTCATTAGCATCCCTTACCTACCATTTGTTTTCAATTTCAAAAGATAATCCAACACACCTGGCACTGCCTCATGACGTAAACAATTAAGTATACTAGTCTTTTGTTCTTTATTGAATAGGATTAAATGACGTCATAGCATCACTCTTCCTTGAGCCCCCTCTAGAGTGGGTTATAACCACAACACCTAACTACTGACCACGCCCACTTTCCTTTCGTCGGGGAAATCTGACACCTCGCCACTACTGTGGTCAAGCTTCGATTAAGTGGTCCTAGGGTCGAGCTTCACGAAAGTGGTCCTAGGGGCGAAGCCTCCGATAGTTTGGACAATTTTGGGTTTTCAAAGGCTTAATAAATCGATTTTAGAGTCTAATAATATGTAAAAAATACATATAATATTTTTTTTCTCCCCAACGAATTGTCGGGGTGAAAGCAATTGGTGAAAATTTATGAAAAGTTGGTTGTGATATAACGTTCTGTAAACGTTGTGATTTTGTTCTATTTCATATACTTGTTTTTTTGTGTACTTTTTTTTAACGTTTTTGAAAACGTTTCACAAAAACAAAACCCAAACTTAAACGGTTTGTATTAGCTGGAAATATCTTCTTTGTAACTTCGGTTAAATTTTCCAGAAAGTTTCATTCGGATCAGTTGACCCGTGTTTTAAATATCTGGTCTGGGACGCTTTCCTTTAAATGGTCCTCATATTCACACCCTACGCCAAATCATCACAAAAATTCAGTCATTTCTTTATTGGATTACTGGATTTGTCGCACATAATTTCTTCCTTGTAACTTGGTTACAATTTTTCCGAATGTTTATTCAGATCAGTTGATTTGTTTTCGAAGTATGTGGTATGGAATTTTTTCATTTCAATGGTGCTCAGATATACACCCTACTCTGGATCGTCACAAAAATTAAATCATTTCTTTACTCGACCTTGACAAGCTGTTATACAAGGTTTAAATTATACCAATTTATTTTTTTAAAGAGATATTTAGGTCTGGGTCCTCAAATTGAAATGACCCTCCAAATTACACCCTTGACTGATTCGTCGTCAGCACGTAATTTCTTTCTTGTAACTTGGTTAAACTATAAACTTTGGTTGAACTTTAGTTCAACCAAAGTTCAACTTTGGTTGAACTTTGGTTCACTTTTATATTTGTAAATATCTATAAACAGTTTCCAATGGGTGTAAATGTAACTTTTTATAATAGTTTGTAAAGGTCTAGTAAATAAATGAATAAAGTTTGTTGTGATCCGGTGTAGGGTGTGAATATAAGAACTATTTATAGGAAAACGTCCTAGACCAGATATTTCAAAAACAGGTCAACTGATGGGAATGAAACTTTCAGGAAAGTTTAACCGAAGTTACAAGGAAGATATTATTATGTGTAGGAGACGATCCAGGTTAGGGTGTAAATTTCTTACGTCCCAGTTATCGATGTATAAAAATGACACTTTGCAGTATAGCTTTTCATGGTGAAATGAAGAAATGATCCAATTTTGATGATGATCTGCAGTTGAGTTGAGTAAATTATTTAAACGCAGTTTGCGTTTTCTAAAGCATTTACACCAGTTACAGCTAGGTTAAACTCGAACTACCGTGATATGCATGAACAATTTTGCTTTCAGTTATTAAATCGCTATGAACTGAAAATGCATGTGCTTATGCAAGGTCGGCCCATATAGCTCACAATGATTATGGGTCATGATGTACCTCGCTATTACCATTGCAGCTATAGTTCAAGTCTCACTAATAACGTCGCAGTGAACTCGGTTTTCCTTGTTTTTTGGGGGGGTTTTGCAAATTTTTTTACTCACTTCTTTTTTTTCCCACTTCATTAAAATTATATTTGTTTTCCGTGTGTTTTTTTACCTTATACATTTTAACGAATTTTCTTTTTGTTGTATTTTCAACTTCATTTCTCATTAAAGCAATGGAGAAAAGCTTTATGTTTTGTTGTTCAAACAGACATAGTAATTCCAATTATTATTAGAAGCGGATTGACGCAGCGGGATTGGTTTCGTTTCCCAACCACGAGGTTGGGGTTTCAATCCCTCGCTGTGCATTTCGCTTATGCCCTTGAGCAAGACACTTTATCTGCATTGCTTCTCTCCACCCAGGAGTATAAATGGGTGCCTGGTGAGGTTGCCTGCTCCTGCGCTGATTACCAGCAGCAACACTTAGCATATGGACCCAATAACTAGGAAAAGGAACTGCGCTTTATTATTATTATAATTATTATTATAATTATTATTATTATTATTAGTATTAATATTATCGAAGAAAGATTATTATTAGTTATTTTGTAAAAAAAATATATCCTAGAATATACAGTAGAGGTTTAATAGGAGCCCTGTCGGTCCGGGCCCTCCTTAATTTTGCAAATTATTTTTAATATGAAGATATAAGGAAAATTGTACTCACAAACGAGTGCCATTTCCAGCCATTTAGTGTGCCGTACTCATAAATGTTTTTACCTTAGCCCCAACCACCCTGGAAGTGGGGGGCCTGCGGTGGTATAGATCTGTGAAAGTCCCTCCCTGCCCCATCCCCTCTCTATTTTAAATACATTGATCTGCAGCTGATATCATATAATTTATTTCATTGTCAAAAACTTTCTAAAATACAATGCCAAATATAAAAACGAGCATATCTAAAATCCCACAATCGAAATGGCGACCGGATCAAAAAAGGGCCCCCAGTCTCGGAACGCCACAGGGACCCGAGCTCATCGTTACGCCACTGCCAGTGTACTGCTTAATCACCTCCAGATGGATATCACTGGAAACAAGTATTTTTCAGAATTTTGAGGGTTATCCTTGGTGTTTACACCGAATATATTAATAGGTAGCAGATATAGAAATTTTTTTTTTTTATAGAAATGGTGGAGACCACAGGCATTGAAAAAAATAGCTTGTTTTGGAGTAGGCCTATAGTGACGTCATGCTCCCTCCTTTCTGGACTTACTTCTCTTTTGGGGGGGGGGGTTGCGATAGGCTCCGTGTGTCCTGGAACCGCCCCTGAAATGATTGATTAATTGATTGTTTGATAATACTTATTTATATTTGCAAAGCTACATTGATGGAAGATCTATATATTCATGATTAAACATGTAACTTATGCAAGCTAATGAAATGCACATGCATATGCATATACATAATATATGTTGCACGCAAATATTAAAATTAAAAATATGTGTGCAAAATATTAGTCACACAATGTTTTTTGGCATTGTCTAATAATTAAAGTCTTTTCATCCTTAACACTTTTCTCTAGGGGGATTAACCACCCACCTTCGTGAGTAAAAATATTGTATTGATGTGCAAGGTGCTCCTAACATTTGTTTGGCCCGGGCCCCACAACTCGTCGTTGCACCACTGGAAGACCATGCCTATTAACATTATAACAAATCAATCAGCCAATTAAAATATATTTATACAGTACCTGACATAACAGTACCATTGTTTATAGTTTACTAACTGCATTTAGGATCATCAATAGGAATAGGAAACACAACATATTTGACTTTGTGACCATGAACCCCTGACATATATAGGGTTCATTTAGACTTTTAGGAGATAAGCGTAAGCACACAGGTTTTACATATCTGGTCAAACCTCAATAGTAAAATGATAGGTCATAGTTGGACTCCTTCTAATAAATATGCCAAAGAGTGTGATTGTAGGATTTTGGTCTATTTGAAAATTATAAAAAGAATTGTCAATTGTCAAGGCATTTTAATAGAGTGATGGGTAGTACAGTTGTAAGAAAGGCCCAGCCTCCGTAGCCTCTCAAGGACCCATTTGAACTGGGACTTGGTCCAGAATGCACATGCGTTATACTCTGTTAAGGGTCGATAGTAGAATGCTAGTTAGTAGTAGGAGACCCCACCCCGAGAGCTAATGAGCGTTATGCAACTGGATTCTTTTTATTTGGTTGTACTGTTTGTTGTTTAGGTGTTGTAATATACATGGATCATTTAAATACTGTAACATTATGTGAGACGTGAGCCCTCTAGAGTTTATGAAATAAATTGTTCTGGAAATGAAGTCATTGTGTACGTTTTGATACGTTCTTGAACCCAAAGATATTTCAAATTTTGGCGACGAGGATGGGATCTTTGGAATGATAAGTGATCCAAAACATTACTGTATAGTCCAGGACCAGATAGAACACAATGGCACTAATTGGTAAGATAGGCGAGTATAAGGAAGGGGAAGAACAGTTTGGGAACTACCTTGAGAGGCTCGAACAGTTTTTCGCGGCTAATGCGATAGCAGACGAGCGAGCTGTGAGCGTGTTTCTTACGGTCATTGGACCGAAGCCGTACGCCTTATTAAAGAATATAGTATCACCAGACAAACCTAGTGATAGAACATTGGCTGAGCTAAAGCAGTTATTGACTAAACACTACACACCCGAACCGCTTGTTATTGCGGAAAGGTTCAAATTTCATCGTAGAAACCAGAAGGAAGGTGAAACGGTGGCCCAGTATGTAGTAGAGTTGAAACGGCTTGCACGGACATGCAAGTTTCAGGCATTCTTAAACGAGGCCTTACGAGATCGTTTAGTGTGTGGACTGGGAAATTCCATGTGCCAAAAGAAGTTGTTGACGGTGAAAGATCTCACTTTAGATAAAGCGGTTGAAATTGCAACAGCCATGGAGTTGGCTAATACCCAAGCCAAGGAATTTAATTCAATTGAGAATAAGCCTATCACCGTAAACAAAATTAAATCTAAGCCAACCTACAGTAAGGATAAGCCTAGGCCTAGTGCGGGAAAACAAAAGGGTGGATCAGGCAGTCAAGGTTTATCCAAGGCGCATAAACCAACATGTTACCGATGTACCGAGGAACATTATGCTAATAATTGCCCACACAAGTCTACAACCTGCAGTTTCTGCAAAAAGGTAGGACACCTAGCCAGGGCATGTCGAAAAAAGAAGCAACAGGCAAAGGAAGTCAAACAAGTATATACCAATACAAGTGATAGTGTTGAGGATGAATATGATTTACATTCAGTTAAGAACACATCCAAATCTGGTATAATCTTGGATTTTTTGATCGACGGTAATCCAATTAAAATGGAGTTGGACACTGGAGCAGCAGTTACAATTTTATCAGAGTCGGTCTACATGAAATATTTAAAGGCATGGCCACTTGCAGATTCTTCAGTGAAGCTACGTACCTATGCTGGTGAATCAATCAAGGTGCTAGGTCAGCTTACGGTTCCAGTGAAATATGAAAACCAACAATACACCCTGCCTTTGTATGTGGTTCCAGGTAACAAACCATCTCTTATGGGGAGACAGTGGTTAGAGAAAATCCAGTTAGATTGGAAGAATATTTTCAAGGTACACGATGATACCTGTACTAACGCCAACGTAAAATCCGTGACCAGTGAAACGCTTACTAAAAGATATCCAGCTGTTTTTGCTAAGAAAGGTGACCCTATCAAGGAATTCACCTCTGCTGTGAAAATACCTGAAGGAACAAAGCCCATGTTTACAAAGGCACGGCCGGTGCCATATGCATTAAAAGACAAGGTTGAACTTGAACTGAAACGATTATTAGAAAATGGGATAATATCTAAGATAGATCGTAGTGATTGGGCTTCCCCCATAGTAGTTGTACCGAAGGGTAATGGTAAAGTACGGTTGTGTGGGGATTATAAGGTTACGGTAAATAAAGTGTTAGTTGATTCACATCATTCCTTACCTACAGCAGAAGATCTTTTTGCTACCCTTGAGGGCGGGAAGATTTTTACCACCCTTGATCTTACCAACGCTTATTTACAATTAAGCTTGGATAGTGAATCAAGGAAGTATCTCACAATAAATACGCACCTGAGTCTATTCCAATTAAATCGCCTTCCATTTGGAATATCATCTGCACCAGGAATATTCCAGTGTGTGGTGGACCAACAGGGAATTCCTGGAGTAGTATGTTACCTTGATGACATTTTAATATCTGCACCATCTGAGTCGGAACATTGGGTTAGATTAAACCAAGTATTTCAACGGTTAGAGAAATATGGTGTGAGAGTTAAAAAAACAGAAGTGTGAAATTGGTAAACCATCAGTAGTCTATTTGGGTATGGATAAATAGATGGAAATGGTATACACCCCACTTCAGACAAGGTAGAAGCGATTGCACAAGCACCTAGTCCCACAAAAATTACCGAATTGCGCTACTATTTAGGCTTACTAAATTGCTACGGAAAATTTCTTCCAAATGTATCTACTGTTATACATCCGTTAAATGCGCTATTGCGCAAACAGACACCTTGGTGCTGGGATAAGGTTTGTGAGGTTGCATTCCAAAATAGTAAGAAATTAATACTAGATAACTCATTGCTAGTACATTACGATGTAAACAGGGAAATGAGGTTAGCGTGCGATGCTTCTCCGTACGGTGTGGATGCGGTTATCTCGCACATAATGCCAAATGGTGAGGAACGCCCCATTGCTTTTGCCTGGCGGACACTATCTAAAAGTGAACAAAACTATGCGCAAATTGAACGCGAGGCACTATTCATAGTGTATGGTGTCAGAAAATTCCATAAATACTTATATGGGAGACGTTTTGTCTTGATCACCGATCATAAGCCACTTACTGCTATATTAAACCCTGAATCCCCTGTGCCAACTTTGGCTGCAGCAAGAATGCAGCGTTGGGCGTTACTATTGTCAGCGTACAAATATGACATCGTCTATAGGAAATCTAATGATCACTGTAATGCAGATATGTTATCTAGGTTACCTACCAAAGATTCTACAGATGAACATGTAGAAGTAAATTATTTCTCATATGTTGATGACTTACCTATAACGGCAAATGATATTGGTAAAGCAACAACCTATATATATTTATATACCTGTATATATACACATACGTATATTATACGTACGTATACACGTATATATATATATATATGTATATATGCGCGCGTGTGCATATATACACGCGCACGTGTACATATATACGCGTGTACATACATACGCGTGTGTATATATATATACGCATGTATATTATACGTATATATATATATACACGTATATATATACGTGTATATACATACGTATATATATACACGTATATATATTATGTATATATACGTGTATATATATATGTATATATGTATACGTGTATATAGATACACGTGTATATATATATGTAAATCAAGGTAGCCGTTAACACTGTTAAATCATATATAAATCATCAAAGAAAGGTAAATACAGTGTTCGAATAAAGGACTGAATAAATACATCGTGTAGCATAGCTCTCAACGAATGTAGTCCTGTAAATAAAGAAATTGTGTAATAAAATGTCTCTGGCGGGACTCGAACCTGCGACCTCTCGCTGTCAAGGCGAGTGTCATAACATCTAGACCACGGAGGCTTCATGGTTGAACAGATTCAAATACCACCAGATACACTCTATTACACATGTTTGGTCAAATTTGTGTGGAGGTTGAAAAATACAGGGGGAGTCTTTATGGCCCAAAATAGTGATTTTAGTAATGTAATTCGACAGGCAAATTACAGTAATATTTTTAGAAAAATTCTTTGGAAAAATTTCGTAGGCATAGGGCCTAGGCCTAGCTAGGTATACAGTAATTTCATTTTACAGTAGGGCCTAGTTTGGAACGATATCAGGAGTGGGGGTGCTGGCAGTGGCCTACTAGGACTACAATTTATTTGAAGCTATCTTGGGCCCAATCGTCTGTCACCCGAAGTTTTCATTACGATTATCAAGAACGTACACGATCTAGGCCCTGGCCTAGGCTTTAGCTTTCTGTCGTCACTCTGCTACGTATACTACTAGAGCATAACAAAGAAAGCGACCAACGTGGTGCATTCTTAAATATTACACACATTTTAATTAATTGTATTTTACGACAACACGATAACACGATATCATTGATTGAACGATCTAACTACCCTCGCATCGCAGTAACTGAACCAGGCCTAACTTAGGCCTCATGTTTTTGTGGAAAGCTAGATGGTCGTTATGTACCCGACAGTCGGCTGCCTTTATATTTTCACATTTTTTCAGTTTGCATTCAAAAGGTACATTGCTGCACAGCCAACTGTCGGGGATATAGTACATTCATATGACTACTCATTCGTATACAACAAACAAAAAACGTCGCATGGACTTAGTGAAAAATGGAGATCTAAATGAAAAAACGATGTATTTCAGCAAGTATTAAAACATTTTAGTTTTATTTTAGGCCTTCTTCAAAATACCTATGCCTACAGCAGTTGACTTTTTTTGCAGTAAAACCAAAATAGTTTCATCCATGCCGACTTTCCGGTCGGTTAGCGTGAGTCCTGACTGAACTCTGCAGAAACTTCACATCGATCTTCCCATAATAATATTAATAATAAAAATAACAAAAACAACAAATCACTAAACAACAATAATATAAAAGTTAAAATTCATCACAATAAATATTATCAGTAATATTATTAAAAATAATATCAATATTAATAACAACAAAAACAATAACAACAATAACAGCAGAAAATTACAGATAAAAAACCCTACTTAATTTAAGATAAAACATCAGAGGACACGAGAATTCTTACAAAACAGTATAAAAAACAGCTAGATATAAGATTCAAAAACGTAACTCACACAGACTTTCAGAACGAAAACATATTTCAAACAAACACGGAAGTTACCATCAGTTCATAAAAGCTTTAAAGATGTATTGTCCCCTGCCAATGTCAAAAAATCACAAAAAAAAAAAAAAAAAATCCGAAATAAACCCGCCCAACATCGCAACAGCACACAAATTACCAACCCGTGCACAAAATCTATTGAATTAAAAAAAAATGTTTACCCTGATTTTTAAACTAAAAATTATAATAAAAATAATAAAACGGGCAAGCTTACTCCAACAAGCTTTCTTTTTAAACTCGCGGAGACATTTTGAATTTTTCAGTTTTTCATTTAAAGAGTTCCACAATGCAGCACCTCTGTAGCTAAAACTTTTTTGTTTATATTTAGTTCTTGGAACACTAATATCAATGTTATTTTGCGACCTCATATTGTATTTGTATTCTTTTTTAAAACAAAGACCATTTTGAAAAAAATAGCCACTATTTGTATACAAGGCATAACATCAAGTGTCAACAGAGCTTAGGGTGACCAGAAGGGATTATTTAGAATATCTGGCTAAGTGGATTAATAATAATAATAATAATAATAATAATAATAATAACGATTTTTTTTTTGCTTCTAACATTCCACTTCCTTTAACTCATTTTTCCAGATTTCTTTTTTCTAGACTAATTATAAAGAAAGAATTGTTAGCCATTATGACGGACTGATCCTTTTTAAAGAAAAGTGATTTTTATCCTTGTAAATACTCATTATGTATATTTTACTTTAATGCAATAAAACTTATGTAAAATTGTATATTATAAAATGATGAAATACGAGAAAAAAAATAAATGGGATACCACACAAAGACAAAAAAAAAAGTTGAGTTAAATTAAATACATTTGTCGTTACGATCCGTGCTTTCTTATTAACAGTGCAATGGGTTTATTTCTTTTAATGATACCATGACACTTGATACAATTCTACTTGCTAAACATTGCAGTGAGACTTACACTATGTAGAGCATCTTGAGTGTTCATATATGATTTGTGAATGGATTGGTGGTTAATGTTTCGTCATTGTATTTTTAAAGTATTGAAAAAGTATGGCAAATAAGATGCATTATTTTTTGATCAGTCAAATGTTAATAAATGTGTCAACGATGTAGAACATATCTGAAAATATTTTATTCTCTGTATATTTATCCTTATTTATAGTTTGTCACAATAATGTTTCTTTTTAAATAATTTATTACAGAATGTTGCCATTCAGGCTGCATCTGAGGCGTATTGCAAAAGGATGGATACGGTAACTATTATATATTTTCTTCATTATTTTCTTCAAATATTATACTATAAGTTGTAAATTAAGTGAACCTTTTTTACACGTCTTGGAATATAAAATTAAAATACTAAGATTATCCACTACCACCCCCACCAATGACAGCGATATATAGCATAACGCTTTGAGCACTGTTACTACTGCTACTGTAGAAAACAACAGGCAATGTAGAAAAAAACAGGTAATATAACAACGATTGTTAATGTAGCACACTCCACAGTTTATGTAGTTAAAGTCCCCAGAAGATAAACATTGCCGTCTGTCAACGGTCTATACGCTTGTTCACCGCTCCAAGTTTTTCACTCGAAATTACTACTTTTTGAGGTATTTATTTGTCTCAAAGTTTTGATCTAGTTTAATAAGCATACCTAGACCGAAAGGTAATCAATCGATGTTGGTTTATCAATCTATACCTGACTTCAGTAGTTAATTGTATACGTCAATTGTCTAGGCCGATTGGCGTGAGTTTCAAGAAGATTGTTTGAGATGCTCTCAGCCATTGGTAGCTGTCAGCTACACAACGATCTTTCTGTATATTAAATCAGTGTTGTGGTGTGTAAAACAGAACAATCGTTGTATACCAATGCCAAGTCAAGTCTTTTGTTAATACATTGATTGGATAGGGCTCAATAAAGAAACACAATGACAACAGGAAAAGGTAGCGTTTGGTTTATACTGTCATTCATTGTGATCCTCAACAAAGGAATGGATACGCTTAGGTACAATGACGAGCTGCCCAATATGAGAAAACAAATCGTTCGAGATTATATTGTGAACGTCTCTGGCATCTCCAGCATTGTAACTGCAACGACATCTGAACTGATTTTATCATCTATGCATAAGTTCAACGTCGGGAATGCCAAATACAGGAAGAAAAATGTCAAGTTTTGTTCTTTGTTGAAATATAATAATGGATTATGGCTTGTATTAATGCTCAAATGTGGAGATGTATCCCCAAACCCAGGCCCCCGATATAACAAAAGAGACTCAGACCTGTCTATGTTTAATAAAAGGGGCCTGCATTTCATACATCTAAATGCAAGATAAATTCTTCCGAAGCTTTCCGAATTAAAATTACTTGTTCTGAAGACAAGAGCCGCCGTAGTATGTA